GAGACCATCTGGCTCAAACCCTTTTGTCTCTCAGTCAAGGGAACTTGCCCAAAGCCACAGAGCTGGTGTGAGGAAGAGCAACATTTACTGACCCCCCTCCACTAGGAGGTCCACGGGACTGACCTAGGGGTACGGCCCTTGCAGTTAATGCGCCTAACACGTGGGGGCGCCCGTGTCCCCCCTTCAGCCTCCACTACATACCGAGTTTTCCGGCCTTCAATCTGTAAGCAGCCCCGAAATTCTATCGAAAGGTTCCTGCGGCTTATTGAACATAACTGCATATCACACTCTGCTAGCAGCTTTCTATAGTCACAGGAAACACTTCCATGTCCCCCCTGCAGACGTTTCGCACATAAAAAAGATACGGCCCATGAATTTTAGCCAGTTGTTGAAGGTCACAGAGCTAGTAAGTGCAAATCAGGGTTCAAACAACATCTATTTGACTCCAGAATCTGGGCTTTTACACCCTACTCCTGCGTCTCCGAAACAGTGCAGATCGGCAAGCTGGGAAGTCCCGCCCAGTCTGGGTCTAGACCGGCAGTCCAAGAGGAAGAGTCTTTCAGTGTCTTTCTAGAAGTTGAGGAGAATCCTTGGCTCCAAATTCTCCCAACTCAAACGTGATGAAAGCAAGACCTAGAGGCACTGGGGAACAGGGCTTATTGTCCAAGGCCACATACCGCAAAAAGAGGGGAACTGGGCCGGGCGCGGTGACTCAAGCCTGTAATCCCAGCACTTTGGGAGGCCGAGGCGGGTGGATCACGAGGTCGAGAGTTCGAGACCATCCTGGTCGACATGGTGAAACCCCGTCTCTACTAAAAATACAAAAAATCAGCTGGGCATGGTGGCGTGTGCCTGTAATCCCAGCTACTCAGGAGGCTGAGGCAGGAGAATTGCCTGAACCCAGGAGGCGGAGGTTGCGGTGAGCCGAGATCGCGCCATTGCACTCCAGCCTGGGTAACAAGAGTGAAACTCCGTCTCAAAAAAAAAAAAAAAAAAAAAAAAGAGGGGAACTGGAAGAGTCCCCGGAACCTCAGCCCCTCCTCCCGAGGTGCCCCTAGAGCCACGTGGACCCTCCCGGTGTGCCTCAGAATCCCCAAACTCTTTCAGCAGCAATGCAGTCCGTTCCTTACAGGGTCCTAGTGTCCATCTCTCTCACTCCGTTCCCTGCATTCTCTGGGGCGGCTGTATTTTAACCTGTTTTCATGTGCATTACAATTCCAGCTCTGTTGGAAAAAACAGGCCCAAGAAGGAAGGAAGAGCAATTGATCCTGCGGCTCTTAGATAACTGGGCGCCAGAGCCGGGTGCGGCGGGTCGCGCCTGTAATCCCAGCACTTTGGGAAGCCAGGCGGGCGAATCACGTGGTCAGGAGTTTGAGACCAATCCTGGCCAACATGGTGAAACCCCCGTCTCTACTAAAAATACAAAAAAATCAGCTGGGCGTAGTGGCGGGAGCCTGTAATCTCAGCTACTGGGGAGGCTGAGGCAGGAATCACTTGAACCTGGAACGCAGAGATTGCAATGAGCCGAGATCTTGCCAAGGCATCCAGCCTGGACCAGAGAGTGAAACTATGTCCCCCGCTCCCCAAAAAAAGGGAAAGATGGGAACCTATTCTTACAGTGCTAAGGCCCGCTCCAGTGGGCTTGGGAATTGCCCCAATCCAGCAGGCAGACAAATAATAATTACTAAAATGTTTAGTGATTGCCATACACCAGATCCAGTGCTGGAAACCCAGTGCGGTGACCATACCCAAAGCCTGATGGAGGTGAATCATTTCAAGAAATCCCGCCGGGCGCGGTGGTTCAAGCCTGTAATCCCAGCACTTTGGGAGGCCGAGGCGGGTGGATGACGAGGTCAAGAGATCGAGACTATCCTGGTCAACATGGTGAAACCCCGTCTCTACTAAAAATAGAAAAATTAGCTGGGCATAGTGGCGCACGCCTGCAGTCCCAGCTACTAGGGAGGCTGAGGCAGGAGAATTGCCTGAACCCAGGAGGCGGAGGTTGCGGTGAGCCAAGATCGCGCCATTGCACTCCAGCCTGGGTAACAAGAGCAAAACTCCGTCTCAAAAAAAAAAAAAAAAAAGAAAAGAAAAGAAATCCCACAGGGGCTGGGCTCCGTGGCTCAGGCCTGTGATCCCAGCACTTTGGGGCAGATTACCTGAGGTCAGGAATTTGAGACCAGCCTGCCCAACATGGTGAAACCCCATCTCTACTCAAACTACAAAAAGTAGCTAGGTGTGGTGGCGGGTGCCTGTAATCCCAGCTACTCCAGAGGCTGAAGCAGGAGAATCACTTGCACCTGGGAGGCGGAGGTTCAGGTGACCCAAGATCAGGACACTGCACTGCAGCCTGGGCAACAGAGTGAGACTCTGCCGCAAAAAAAAAAAAAAAAAAAAAAAAAAGAAAAGAAAAGAAAAAAAAGAAAAGAAAGAAAGAAAAATAAATAAATAAATAAATTCGTGAGGTTGAGGTCATCATTTACAGATGAAGAAACTGAGGTACAGAAAGGGTGAGTTGGTTGCCCTGGCTCTCCCAGCTGAGTGGTGTATCTGGACTCAGGCAGCCTGGTCTGGGAGCAGGCTTCTAGCCACTCCTCTGTGCAGTCACTCTTGCAGGCTGGCCTTTTCCAAGCCAAATTATTCAGCCTGTTTGTCTTAGAAAGATGATTACATATGCTTGCACAGCACTTGGGTATACTTACAGTTTATGTGTGTTTCCTAGTTAATATCTCATTTAATCATTCACTCAACATGGATGAATTGAATCATTCACTCAATTTGTTGAGAGTCTACCAACTGCCAGGCGCTGTGCCCTAAATCCTTTCTGCTCAAAATGTGGCTCCTAGGGCAGGCGCAGTGACTCACACCTGTAATCTCAGCAGTTTGGGAGGCTGAGGCGGGCAGATCACGAGGTCAGGAGTTCTAGACCAGCCTTGCCAATATGGTAAAACCACTCTCTACTAAGAATACAAAAATTAGCTGGGCATGGTGGTGCGTGTCTGTAATCCCAGCTACTCAGGAAGCTGAGGCAGGAGAATCGCTTGAACCTGGGAGGTGAAGGTTGCAGCGAGCCAAGATTGTGGCACTGTACTCCAGGCTGGGCAACAGAGCAAGACTCTGTCTCCGAAAAAAAAAAAATGTGGCCCCTAGACCAGCAGCATCAGCATCACCCGGCAGCTGGCTGAAAGGCAACATCTTGGGCCGTGGTGTAGACCTTAGAATCAGCATTTAAACAAGCTTCCCAGGAGATTCACAGGCACATTGAAGTTTGAAAAGTATGGCTTTGTAATGTTTCTATAATACTATGAAATAGATATCTCATTTAATGAATGGAGTCTGAGATACTGTGACTTGTTTGTAATCCCCATGACTAATAATCAAGCAATACATGCAAAGAGCTCACAACAGTGTTTTGCACATAGTATGTGCTCAATAAAGAATATAGTCAATGACAGAGCCAAGCTGTGAACCATCTGGTTTTCAACTGCATAGTCCCTTAGCCTCAGAAGAACCCATTTAGGCACCAGGTATTCATTCTACCAGGTGAGGCGAGGATTGTGGATATGGCTTCCCTCTTAGCTCAGCCAGTCTACAGGAGCTAGGGGGTCCAGAAACTACCATTGTGGCGAGCCTGATCCTGTAGCAGGGGCATTGTAGGGTTGGGACGTTATTCTCCAGAAAAGGCCAGATATAGAAAGAGGGGACCAGAGGCGCTCTGAGGGATGTCTCCTGTAAACCCCATGTCCTCAAACCTCATCCCCTCTGCCTCCAGGATGCCTTTCTAGGTGAGCACCCTATACCCTAGGCCTCCCTCCCCTCACCTCCTGCCCTTGTCTCTTCAGTAGGTGGCCACTGTGGGAAGGCCACTTGCACCCTCCCTCTCAATCAGTAGGACACAACTATGTCTCTGACAGTGGGCTGGGCTTGTCTCCCTGTGCTGACCAAGTCCTTCCCAGGGCCCCTCAGCTAGGGTCCGTGGTGACTTCACCCTAGCCGAGTTCCGGAACACCTGCTGGGGACTTCCCCAAACCTCCCTCCTAACTTCCTGGAACTTCCTGGAAAGTGCTTGCTCCCGATCCTTCTTGGAGAACTACAGACAAGAAAACATGCTTATTTTTAAACAGCCTATTATTTTTATCTCTTTTATTGTTTGAAATAAAACTTTAATACACAAATATTTTAAGCAAAATTTGCTTATAGTAAACATTCAAGTAATAATATTCAAATAATAGAAAGCAAAAAAAATCCCCCACCCGTTCAACATTTCACGAGTCGTGACCACGTGTTTCCTTTGCACCATACTTATTAGGCTCGGAGGCCACGCAGAACCCACGGAGAGGCTTGTCACTGCGGGAACGCCCAGGCTGTGCCATTCGCACACCCATTGCCTTTTCCCTATAACTGTCTCCTTGGGACAAGAAATGTTCCAAGAGGGCCGGGCGCGGTGGCTCACGCCTGTAATCCCAGCACTTTCGGAAGCCAAGGCGGGCGGATCACCTCAGGTCAGGAGTTCGAGACCAGCCTAGCCAACATGGTGAAACGGTCTCTACTAAAAACACAAAAATTAGCCAGGCACGGTACTACGGAGGCTGAGGCGGGAGAATCTCTAGAGTCCAGGAGATGGAGGTGGCAGTGAGCTGAGATCGCGCCACTGCATTCCAGCCTGGGCGACAGGCTGTCTCAAAAAAAAAAAAAAAAAAAAAAAAAAAAGTTCTAGGAGCGTCTCTCCAATGTTAGTCCCAATCTGCGCCCTCATTCCATCCCGGCTTTCACTCCCGACCCCTGGCCGCAACCCCGCCTCCAGTGACCCCCCGGGACGGAACCCCCGGCCCACCGCAAGGGAGCAGCCGCGACCCCGGCTCCAGGGGATGATCCCCGCGCCTGCGCGCACCCCAGAGGCAGCTCCGCGCCCGCCACCGCCTCCGGGCCGACTCCACGCCCACCCAGGGGAGGAGCCCCGCTGCCTCCACCTACAGCGGGGTCCCGTAGCAGGTGGAGTCCACGTGGGCCCCGGCGCCGAGAAGTCTCCGCCCCGAGCTGGAGCGGCTGGGCTGGCTGCGGAGCGGTGCTGGGGCTGGCCGAGGGGCGGCCACCCGGAGCCGGTGAGTGCAGCCGCCCGCCCTCCGGTAGACTCGCGGCCGGCGGGGAAGTCGGGAGGGAAGGGCGGGCGCGGTACCCTCCTCCGTCTCGGCCGCCTGCGGAGGTGCTGCCCACGCCTGGAAGCCCCCAGGGACCCTCAGACCCGCGTCTGCGCCTCTCTCCCCACACCCCGAGGCAGAGTTGGGAAAGCAGTGGTCTTAGAACTCCCTCGGGCACTCGGAAGAGAATGGGGAGACGCCCCTTCCCTTCCCCGGGGGGGGGTGCAGCGTCCGCCTCGCGCTCCTGGGTAGCCCCCGGGCAGGGAGGGCCCGAGGGTGGGCACGGCGTCCTCCGCGACTCTGCGAAGCCCCTTCAGCGTCTCAACTTTCAAGGCTGTTGCAGAGGCGGCTTGCACCTCTCCAGCTCCATAAAATCCCTGGAGGAAACATGCCCATGTGTCCAGAAATTTTAAGGACTTGGTGCATTTCAGGTGAAGGCTTTTCCAGAGGCTTTCCCGTTGGAGAGGATGAGGCTCCCAACTGGTTAGGGTCAGCAGCGTTTGGCAGGTCTCCCTCCAGCCCGGCGCTTTTGTCAGGATTCCCCCTGTAAAGTGTCTCGAAACCTGATGAGGGGAAGTATTACATTTCATCGAATTGGCACCAGCCAGTCAGTGTAAGCAGCACGTTATTGAATGTGCTGCTGCTGAAACTATGAGAATGCTGAGATTGTTAGCCATCCTCATTTCTGAGATTTAAAAAGTCTTCTAAAGTGTTTTTTACGGTCTGAATTATAATAGCTACCACATACCCGGTATCTACTTAGTTCTTTTCGATTTTCACCATAACTTACAGAGAGGCTGGTGCAAGAACCGGTGGTTAGGCAGCTGACCTGGGTGAGGCTGGGGGTCCCCTCTGCCCGAGCAGCCGGGGTGTAGACCACTCAGACTGCTCTCAGTGGACTGGGATGATTTGGGGCAGGGAGAGCAGAGGTGGCACCGTAGCCCTGCGTTCGCATTGTTGTGTTTTGCTTTGTTTTCTGAGATGGAGTTTCGCTCTTGTTACCCAGGCTGGAGTGCCATGGCACGATCTCAGCTCACTGCAACCTCTGCCTCCTGGGTTCAGGCAATTCTCCTGCCTCAGCCTCCCAAGTTGCTGGGATTACAGGCGCGCGCCACCATGCCCAGCTAATTTTTCTATTTTTAGTAGAGACGGGGTTTCACCATGTTGACCAGGATGGTCTCGATCTCTTGACCTCGTGATCTACCCGCCTTGGCCTCCCAAAGTGCTGGGATTCTAGGCCTGAGCCTCCTCGTCCGGCGGGCATTGAAACAGAGCCACAGCTGTTTCTCGGTGATCAGGGATAAGTATCTGCAGTTAAGCTGGGCGTTAACTGCATGGCTGGGGGTCTCGCTTATGATTCTGAGCTCTGTGCGTGTTGCAGTCATCTCATGCACATCTCCCCCAGGTGAGTGGTTGGTGGTCCTGGATGGTGGGATCCACATCTTTGTCTTTTCACTCTGGTCCCTTAAAAAGTGGGAAATAGGTCAGTAGCAGTAGGTTGGACTGGCTGCTTTTTGAGAGTGGGAGGAGGGAGGTCAGAGAAAGCCAGGACATTGTTAGAGGTTCAGAGTCCAGGCAGAAAGCAAGCAGGGCCAGCTCCCCCGGTGGCAGCTGTCGCTCAGGAGCAAAGTGGATAGTGCACATGATGTGCTGCCTAGCACACTGTTGGTGCTTAATAAGTGTCTTGAAGAAAGGTGAGAGGGGCTGCCTTTGCTGCCAGGTTTGCCACACCCTGCCGCAGCTGGTGCTTCTCTGTCATTTGACTCCCTCCCAGCCATGCTCCCTTTTTGGCCATATTGGCTTTTAAAGTTAGTTGACACCTGTTAGAGATGTTAGAGATAAATGAGCTAAGTCTGTGGCCTCTTTTGCCCATTGCTACCTACAGGGATGCCAGAAGGGCCGCTGGTGAGGAAATTTCACCATTTGGTCTCCCCCTTTGTGGGCCAGCAGGTGGTCAAGACAGGGGGCAGCAGCAGGAAGCTACAGCCCGCCGGCCTGCAGTCTCTGTGGCTCCAGGATGCCCAGGTGAGCCTATCCTCCACTGAAGGTAATAATGCAATTACCTCCCACCGGGTCCATCCCACAAGACCTGGGAATCATGGGAGCTATAATTCAAGGTGAGATTTGGGGACACAACCAAACTGTATCGTTTTACTGCCAACCTCTCCCAAAGCTCATAGCCTCACCTTTCAAAACCAACCATGCCTTCCCATCAGTCCCCCGAAGTCTTAATTCATTTTAGCGTTGACTTAAAAGTCCACACAGTCCAAAGTATGATCTGTGACAGATCATAGGCAAATTCCATCCACCTATGAGCCTGTAAAATCCAAAGCAAGTGAGTTACTTCCTAGGTACAGAGGGGGCGCAGGCACTGGGTAAATACACCTGTTCCAAGTGGGAGATACTGGCTGAAATGAAGGGGTTACGGGATGCAGGAAAGTCTGAAATCCAGTGGGGCAGTCAAATCGGAAAGCTCCAAAATGAGGTTTGATTCCATGTCTCGCATCCAGGGCCTGCTGATGCAAGAGGTGGGCTCCTACAGCCTTAGGCAGCTCCACCGCTGTGGCTTTGTAGGGTACAGTCCCTCACCCTGGCTGCTTTGACAGGCTGGCGTTGAGTGTCTGGGTTTTCCAGGGTGTGGTGCAAGCTGTCAGTGGATCTACCATTCTGGGGTCAGGAGGACAGGGGCCCTTTTCTCACAGCTGTACCAGGCATTGCCCCCATGGGAACGCTGCATCAGGGCTCTAACCCGCTGTTTTTCTTCTGTACTGCCCTAGCAGCAGAGGTTCTGAATGAGGGCTCTGCCCCTGCAGCACACCTCTGCCTGGAAATCCAGTCATTTCCATGCATCCTCAGAAATCTAGGTGGAGGGCTTCCGTACCTCAGTTCTTCTGTGCACCCGCACGCTCAGTCCATGTAAATCATGAAGGCTTGGGGCTTGTACCCTCTGAAGCAACAGCCTGAGTTGTGCATTGGCTCCTTTTAGCTGCAACCAAGTCCCTAGGCTGCATACAGCAGGGGGGCCTGGCCCTGGCCCAGGAAACAATTTTTTCTTCCTAGGCATCTGGGCCTGTGATGGGAGGGGCTGCCGGGAAGGTCTCTGACATGCCCTGGAGAGATTTTCCTTATTGGCTTGGTGATTAGCGTGCAGCTCCTGGTTATGAAAATTTCTACAGCCAGCTTGAGTTTCTCCCCAGAAATTGGGTTTTTCTTTTCTACTGCATTATCAGGCTGCACATTTTTCAAACTTAGGCTCTGCTTCCTCTTGAATGCTTTCCCACTTCGAAATTTCTTTCACCAGATACCCTACATCATGTCTCTCAGGTTCAAAGTTCCGTAGATCTCTAGGGCAGGGGACAAATGCCACCAGTCTCTTAGTATAGCAAGAGTCACCTTTACTCCAGTTCCCAACAAGTTCCTTGTGTACATCTGAGACCACCTCAGCCTATACCTTATTGTCCATATCACTATCAGCATTTTGATCAACATCCTTTCAACAAGTCTCTAGGAAGTTCCAAACTTTCCCACACTTTCCCATCTTCTGAGCCCTCCAGTCTGCTCCAGCTTCTGCCTGTTACCCAGTTCCAATGTTGCTTCCGCATTATCTTTACAGCAGCACCCCACTCCCGGTGACAATTTACTGTATTAGTCCAGTTCTCATGCTGCTGATAAAGGCATAACCAAGACTGGGTAATTTATAAAGGGAAGAGGTTTAATGGACTCACAGTTCCACAAGGCTGGGGAGTCCTCGCTATCATGGTGGAAGGCGAAGGAGAAGCAGAGGCATATCTTATACATGGCAGTACACAAGGGAGAGCCTGTGCAGGGGAACTGCCCTTTATAAAACCGTCAGATCTGGTGAGACTCAGTATCATGGGAACAGCATGGGAAAAACCCACCCCCATGACTCAGTTACCTCCCACTGGGTCCCCCCAGCAACAAATGGGAATTACGGCAGCTAAAATTCAAGGTGAGATTTCGGTGGGCACACAGCCAAACCGTATCACACATTTTGTGGTCAGTGATGTTTAGTCATCAGTTGATGGACGTTCGGATTGTTCAACCGTTTTGACTTACATGGATAATGCTGCTGCGGGCATTCATGTGCGAGTATTGGTGTGGATGTATGTTTTCATTTCTCTTGGGAACATTTCCTAGGAGTGGAATTGCTGGACCATATACTGTGTTTACCTTTTTGGGTGTCTTCTGTAGTGTTTTCTGAAGCAGCTGTATCATCATTTTATCATCTCACCAGCAATGTGTGAGGACCAGTCCTTCCATTTTTAACCTCTTCCCGCAGCACCAGGGGCCTCCGTGTCTCCCTGCTCACCTGCGGCCAGGGTGGGTGGGCTCCCTGGGTTCCCTCTTCCTTGGGGCCCCCTTCTGCTGCAGCAGAGGACTCTGCTCTGCCTCGTCAGTTACCCTTCCTGTGCCCGTTTTTCGTTGTCTGTGGGGGGCTTTGTACCTCTGTCTGTTCCTCCTCTTGCTCTTGAGGGTTTAGAGCTCTTTGGTGCCTTTGGCGGGTTTGTTGGGAGCAGTGCTAACAGCGCACGCCCCAGCTGCTGTCTGTCCAGGAGCCCCCCTCCTAGTGTGGGGCTTCCACCTGTGCCTACAGGTCTGGCCCCTCAGCGGGGGACACCCTGTCGCCCTGTCTCCTCTGCCCTCCTCTCTTCTTGTGAAGCCCAGCCCGGGTAACGGCCACCTGCCCCTCATGCTGTGGGCGCTTCTTCCGTATGCAACCTCTGCTTCTACCCACAATTTTCTTTTCTGTTTTTTTGTACAGATGGGGGTCTTACTTGGTACCCAGGCTGGTCTCAAACTCCTGGGCTAAAGCCATCCTCTCATCTCAGCCTCGCAGAGGGCAGGGATTACAGGCATGAGCCACTGTGCCCGGCCCACCCACTCTTTTCTCCGTGCTCGCTTTTCATACTTGTGCCCCTCTCACCCCTACCACCTTTTTAAATTAGAAAAAAACTGTGATGAAAACCACTTGAAATTTACCGTCTTTGCTATTTTGAAGTATCTAGTTCGGTAGTGTTAGATGTATTCACGTTGTCTGACAGTTTGCCTGAACTTTTTCATCTCCCCAAGCTGAAACTCCGTACCTGCTGAACACGAGCTCCCCATCCGCCCTCCCCGCAGCCCCTGGCAACCGCTTTTCTCCGTTCTGTCTCTATGAAGTTGACTCTCCCAGGTACCCCGTATCAGTAGACTCATACGGTATTTGGAGTTTTTTTGACAGGCTTATTTCACTTAGTATAAAGTCTTCAAAGCTCACCCACGTCGTTGATGTGTCAGAATTCCCTTCCTTTGCCAGGCTGAGTGGTATTGTAGACCACATTTTGCTCATCCGTTCATTCATGGATGGGCATTTAGGTTGCTCCCACCTTTTGGCAGTTGTACATAGTGTCACCTCCCCTTTTAAATGTGAAATTTTTTTTTTTTCTTGAGACAGAGTTTCGCTCTTGTTACCCAGGCTGGAGTGCAATGGCGCGATCTCGGCTCACCGCAACCTCCGCCTCCTGGGTTCAGGCAATTCTCCTGCCTCAGCCTCCTGAGTAGCTGGGATTACAGGCACGCGCCACCATGCCCAGCTAATTTTTCGTATTTTTAGTAGAGACGGGGTTTCACCAGGTTGACCAGGATGGTCTCGATCTCTTGACCTCGTGATCCACCCGCCTCGGCCTCCCAAAGTGCTGGGATTACAGGCGTGAGCCGCCGCGCCTGGCAGAACAGCCATCTTTAAGCACAGACCTATAGTGGTCAAAAAAGTAACACAGACATTTCCAGTATTAGTAGATGTTTTGGTTTTTATACTCTTTGAAAGACTGCCTGAACTTCAGGCTGTGTAGAACCGACTCATCCTGAAATCTGGGCACACACATACTGCATATCAGGAGGCGAAGTATGAAAATAAACTCAAAGCATGGGCTGGGTATGGTGGCTCACGCCGCTAATCCCAGCACTTTGGGAGGCCAAGGCAGGTGGATCACTTGAGGCCAGGAGTTCGAGATCAGCCTGGCTAACATGGTGAAACCTTGTCTCTACTAAATATACAAAAATTAGCTGGGTGTGGTGGTGTGAACCTGTAGTCCCAGCTATTTGGGAGGCTGAGACTAGGGAATCCCTTGAACCCAGGAGGTGGAGGTTGCAATGAGCCAGTATGATCCCACTACACTCCAGTCTGGGTGAGACTCCATTTGAAAAACCAAAATAAAGAAAAACTCAAAGCAGCTGGAACATCCTTTAACACACATTTTCTATATTTATTTTCTTCTACTGAAATCACTTGTGGTGAGATGAGGTGAGTCCTTTGCCTTGTACAGTTTACAGTGGTAATTTGAGTCGTTGATCAATTTTTGTTTTGGTATCTAATTTTTGTTGATGATAGTTTCCATATGAAGTCAGGTATGCTGGCAGAGGGGTGGTGAGGTCACTGAGTTTCACAGTACGTTGTTTTTAGCTGCTCTTTGTGTGTGCACATGTCTGTGCGTTCCCAAGCACTGTTTTTATTTCTGGAATAGAAAATGTATCATGAGGCCCGGCGTGGTGTCTCACGCCTATAATCCCAGCACTTTGGGAGGCTGAGGTGGGCGGATCACGAGGTCAGGAGTTCAAGACCAGTCTGGCTGACATAATGAAACCCAGTCTCTACTAAAAATACTAAAAAATTAGCCAGGTATGGTGGTATGCGCCTGGAGTCCCAGCTATTTGAGAGGTTGAGGCAGGAGAATTGCATGAACCCGGGAGGTAGAGGTTGCAGTGAGCCAAGATCGCACCATTGCACTCCAGGCCGGACAACAGTGCGAGACTCTGTCACACACAAAAAAAGAAAAGAAGGCCGGGCGCAGTGGCTCAAGCCTGTAATCCCAGCACTTTGGGAGGCTGAGGCGAGTGGATCACGAGGTCGAGAGATGGAGACCATCCTGGTCAACATGGTGAAACCCCGTCTCTACTAAAAATACAAAAAATGAGCTGGGTGTGGTGGCGCGTGCCTGTAATCCCAGCTACTCAGGAGGCTGAGGCAGGAGAATTGCCTGAACCCAGGAGGCGGAGGTTGCGGTGAGCCGAGATCGCGCCATTGCACTCCAGCCTGGGTAACAAGAGCGAAACTGTGTCTCAAAAAAAAAAAAAGAAAAGAAAATGTATTACGAATGGATTGAAGGAATGACAATTTATGTTCATATCTTAGCTACTGCATGAAAAAAATTGGGAGCGATTCCCCTCAGATATTCCAGGTGGCCCTGCCTTCTAGCGTGGGTCTGTTTCACTGCCCACTAAGCCTCATGCTTGCTCCCAGTCACTTTGGAAACCACCTGCGAACTGCCCACACCACTGGAGCAAAGGAGCAAAAGGCAGAGCCCGAAGACTGCATTTGGGAAGGCTTTGAGGATGGGGCGAGAAGGAAGAAATTTGCAATAGGCTACGTAGCTGCATTCCCCTGTTCCCCTCTGGATCTATAAGGCTTAGATCTACGTTCATTTTTTCTAGGTCCATGGAAAGAGATTATTCCTTAGATTTGATCCAGATGAAGAAATGGGGCCACTTGGCAACAGCCCACCACCAGAGCCTCCACAAAAAGACACGCAGAAGGAAGGGGCTGCAGACCCAAGGCAGGCCCGGGAGCCCAGCGGGTGGAAGACCCCTGATGGATCATCACAGTCTGCAGGACTGGTCCCCCAGGGAGAGGGTGACTCACAGTGTTTGGCAGGAGCCATCCCTGCAGAAGGTGCTGGAAGGTGGCTGCGTGTCTGTTTTGGTTTGTTTGGCAGCATTTGGGTGAACGAGTTCTCCAGAGCCAAGAAAGCCAACAAGAGGGGTGACTGGAGGGACCCTGCCCCCAGGTAAGGGTGTGGCCATCTGATTCTCATGGGCCCTGATAGTCATGGGTCCCTGCTTGGCAGGGTTTGGGACTTAGGCAGCAGGGACACACTGAGGACGAGGCCACCTCTGTGTCTACCAGTGATAGGAAGTGGACTGTGGTCTGGCCAGGAGAGGGTCGCACAACCAACGGTGGCTGGGAGAAGGGTAGAACTTTCCCAGCGAATGTGGCACTTGAGGGGGAGACGTCCCTGAAGAACATTTCATTGCCTGACTAGTGTGCTTTGAGTTTAGGGACAGGATTTCCCAGTTATTTATTTTTTTTAAGTATATTGCTTGTGTGTCTATTTTTTATTGAGATATAATTAACATACAGTAGGATGCAGATTTTTTTTTTTTTTTTTTTTTTGAGACAGAGTTTCGCTCTTGTTACCCAGGCTGGAGTGCAATGGTGCGATCTCGGCTCACCGCAACCTCCGCCTCCTGGGTTCAGGCAGTTCTCCTGCCTCAGCCTCCTGAGTAGCTGGGATTACAGGCACGCGCCACCTTGCCCAGCTAATTTTTTGTATTTTTAGTAGAGACGGGGTTTCACCATGTTGACCAGGATGGTCTCGATATCTTGACCTTGTGATCCACCCGCCTCAGCCTCCCAAAGTGCTGGGATTACAGGCTTGAGCCACCATGCCCGGCAGGATGCAGATCTTAAGTGTTCAGTTTGATGAGTTTTTTATTTATTTTTTTGAGATGGAATCTTGCTCTGTTGCCCAGGTTGGAGTGCAGTGGGGCAATCTCGCCTCATGGAAACTTCTGCCTTGCAGATTCAAGCAATTTTCCTGCCTTAGCTTCCTGAGGAGCTGGGGCTATAGGCGCGCACCACCACACTGACTAAGTTCTGTATTTTTAGTAGAGACAGGGTTTCACTGTGTTGGCCAGGCTGGTCTGGAACTCGTGGCCTCAAGTGATCCACCTGCCTCTGCCTCCCAAAGTGCTGGGAATGCAGGCATGAGCCACCGCGCCCACTGCAGTTTTTAATGTATGAATGTGAAGATCAACATTTTGTACATAAAACTCTATTTAGGATTAGGATTATGTCCTTCGTGTTAATTCCCAGAGGAGTCATTGCTGGTCAAAGGGAATGCACGTTCTTAGGGCTGCACGTTTTTATGGCCTTATGAACTGCTAGTTGAGCTGCAATCTCATGAATGTTAGGTCGTTTGTGTACTTCTTATCAATGTATTGCAGCTTTTGGACAGAAAGTTTATCTTTGTGCCGTGTGTTGCCAGTATTGTTTGAAGTCTGTCCTGTGTCCTTTCACTGTGCTTAGGATGCCTCTTGGCATTTGGGACTTTAAATTTTTATGTCGTCAGTGGTGGGTGTTTTTCTTGGTTTCTCGTAAGTTTCCCCTTTTGCTAAAAAAGGCCCCTTCTGCCCCCAGAGAAAGTCACGTGACTTCTATTTTCTGAAGTTTCGTGATTTTTAAAAATGTTTAGAACTGTAGTCTGTCTTTTTTTTTTTTTTTTTTTTTTGAGATGGAGTCTTGCTCCGTCATGAGGCTGGAGTGCAGTGGCGTCATCTCGGCTCCCTGCAACCTCTGCCTCCCGGGTTCAAGTGATTCTCCTGCCTCAGCCTCCTGAGTAGCTGGGACTACAGGCGCACGCTGCCATGTCTAGCTAATTTTTGTATTTTTAGTAGAGACGGGGTTTCACCATGTTGGCCAGGGTGGTCTCAATCTTTTGACCTCATGATCCGCCCACTTTGGCCTCCCAAAGCGCTGGGATTACAGGCGTGAGCCACCGCCCGGCCAGATCTGTAGGTAGTCTTTATTTGTGGCACGATGTAGATATCATAGGATGCTATGGGCTATAAAAATAACTTGGAGTAGCGTCTGTGGTCAGGAGATGTGGGGCTCCCATGAAGGGAAGTTGAGGAGGAGGGTGGGCGTTGGGGTTGCAGTTCTAAGGTTCTGGCTTCACGTTCTTAGGATTCTCCTGGCTTTGAGCTTTCCTTGCGTTGGTTTTGCCCTTAGACCAGCAGCAGTAGGTGACTGCAGCTCCAGGATTTTATCCACACCAACAAAATCCAGAAGAGAAGGTCACTTTTAGAAGTTGAGATGACGATGGCCGGGCGCGGTGGCTCACGCCTGTAATCCCAGCACTTTGGGAGGCTGAGGTGGGTGGATCACGAGGTCAAGAGATCGAGATCATCCTGGTCAACATGGTGAAACCCCGTCTCTACTAAAAATACAAAAAATTAGCTGGGCATGGTGGCGCGTGCCTGTAATCCCAGCTACTCGGGAGGCTGAGGCAGGAGAATTGCTTGAACCCAGGAGGCGGAGGTTGCGGTGAGCCGAGATCGCGCCATTGCACTCCAGCCTGGGTAACAAGAGTGAAACTCCATCTCAAAAAAAAAAAAAAAAAAAAAAAGATGACAAAACTTTTCTCAGAACCCCCAGCAAACCTCTCATCATCAGGAGCCTGCCCTTTGCTGAATCCTGGATTAGTCACCAGCTGGAGGCATTGAAATGCACTCCACGAAGCAGGCTAACCCCTGAGCTTTCAGATATATTGCCACAGAGTGAATGTGTATCATGCCCCTCTTTTTAAATCTCTTTTTACCTGGTTATGTCTTTTCTCATTTACTTGTTTTCTATTTATTTTGCTTTGTCCCTTTTTTCTTTAATACGCTGGCCTGAGTTTCGTCTGCTTTGTTGGTCTTTGAAATAAATAATATCGCTTGCAGGCGTAGTGACTCATGTCCGTAATCCCAGCACTTTGGGAGGCTGAGGCAGGAGGATCACTTGAGCCTAGGAGTAAGAGACCAGCCTGGGCAACATAGTGAGACCCTGTTTCTACTAAAAATAAAAATAAAAAGATTAGCTGGGTGTGGTGGTGCATACCTGTAGTCCCAGCTACTTGGGAGGCTGTAGTGGGAGGATAGTTTGAGCCAGGGAGGTTGAGACTGCAATGAGCTGTGATTGTGCCACTGCACTCCAGCCTGGGCAACAGAGCAAGACCCTATCTCAAGAAAAAAAACTAACTAAATAAAATTATATATTCTTTCTGTATGGTGGAAAGGGTACATGGAGTATTTGGAGTACTGAAAATACTAGGTTAGGTGTGCTTAGCTTATGGCTGTGATCTCAGCCCTTTGGGAAGTGGAGGAGGGTTGATCGCCTCCAGGAGTTCAAGACCAGCCTGGCCAACATGATGAAATACCATCTCTACCTAAAATACAAAAAATTAGTCAGGTGTGGTGGTGCACACCTGTAATCCTAGCTACTTGGGAGGCTGAGACAGGAGAATCGCTTGAACCTGAGAGGCGAAGATTGCGGTGAACTGAGATGGAGCTACTGTATTCCAGCCTGGGCGACAAGAATGAAACGATGTCTCAAAAAAAAAAGAAACTATTATAAGTAAAAAATGATGCATTTAATATGCCTAGCCTACCAAACATCATGGCTTAGCCTAACTTAACCTTATTTGTGCTCGGGACAATTACATTAGCCTGCAGTTGGGCAAAATCATCTAACACAAAGCTTGTTTTATACAATGTTGAATGTCTCATATAATTTATTGAGTACTGTACTGAAAGTCAAAGAATGGTTTTATAGGTACTCAAAGTATGGCTTTTACTGAGTGTGCACTGATTTTGTACCATTAGTCAAAAATTAAAATTTGTACCAAAAGTCAAAAATTTGACTTTTGTACCAAAAGTCAAAAATTAAAAGTGAACCACGGTAAGGCAGGGATGTCTGCATGTGTGTATGATCCAGCCACAGAGCGTGCTCTGAATGTATTGTAATGACGTGTACCTAAGACCTGGTCTTTCTTCCCAGGTTGGTCCTGCACTTTGGTGGTGGTGGCTTCCTAGCATTTTATAATTGTCAGATGTCCTGGAGCTCTTCCCCAGCGGTCACACCCACCTGTGACATCCTGTCTGAGAAGTTCCATCGAGGACAAGCCTTGGAAGCTCTAGGCCAGGCTCAGCCTGTCTGCTATACGCTGTTGGACCAGAAACACTTCTCAGGGCTAGGTATGACTGATGGGGAAGGGGTGAGCCCACAGAGTTGCTTAAGGCAAAGTCGTTCCTGTGGGAGTCACAAGACCTGAGACCCGCCCCGCTCGTGCCAGTGCTGTTGGTCTTAAGGGGCCACTTGCTTAATCTTCATTTGACTTCCCTTGTTTTTAAACTGAGGGCATTAGATCGTGCCGTTTTTAACTTCTCTCGGCTTCAGAGTCCACACTCTAATTGTGTTATCAGTTGTGAGCCTTCTGCCAGCAACACGGGAGCATCCCCTCCGAAAGGGCGGGGTCGCGTCCCTATCCCCTCCTCTGCACAGCAGCGCCTGGCCCACAGGAGGTGGCTGAGCTGTGTCGGTAGGGACTGAAGTCGTACAGGCTCTAGCAGAGGAATGAGTTCGTGTTCTAAGGGATGCTGCCCTTGGGTGGATGGAGCCTCCCCGGGTCAGACACAGAGGTGACTCAGTCTACACGAGGCTCTTACAGCACACGAGGGAAGAAGCAGTTTCCCTCCCTGTGCAGTGGCCCGAGCAGCAAAGTTGTGTGCATTTCAGGTTACGGAGAAGTGCTGAGTAATTCCAAAAAACAGATATCACGGTGCATTAGCGGGACTCTGAGCGTGTGCCACTCCTTTGTTTTTTTTCCTCTGAGACAGAGCCTTGCTCTGTCACTCAGGCTAGAGCACCGTGGCTCCGGTTGAGGCTGGATTCTCCTGCCTCAGCTCCCTAGTAGCTGGAATTACAGGCATGTGCCACCACACCCGGATACTTTTTTATTTTTAGTAGAGACTGGGTTTCACCATGTTGGTCAGGCTGGTCTTGAACTCCTGGCCTCGTGATCCACCCTCCTCAGTCTCCCAAAATGCTAGGATTATAGGCGTGAGCCACCGCACCCAGCCCCAAGAGTGTGCCATTCTTCTTACCCACAGCAGGGGAATAATTGTGCCCAAAATAGGCTGCTGAGGCAATCAGGCGAGTTGGTGGTGACAGTCACCTCCGTATCCAAGGTGTGACTTTGCCGCCGGCTCTCCTCCCCTCCCCTCATGAGGGTCAGAGGAGGCCCGGTGCTGCCTGCATTTTCATGTTAGAACCATGGGCATCCCTGTGCCCTCAGGAGCCAAGAGGCATCCGGAGGTGGCTTTTCGGATATATATGGCAAGAGCTAACAACAGGAACAGTAGTAATACGGCCAGTGTGTTCCAAGCAGCTCTGATGTGCCAGGCACGTGATTTTGTCCTTACTGCCATTCCATAGGATAGTTACAGTGGTTTTTCCTTTCTTCCAATGAGGAAACTGAAGCAAAGAACACATTGCTAGTCAGTAGCACAGCTGAGACGTGAGGCCGGGTATTCTGTCAACGAATTCCGGAGAGAATGATGTGTGTAATGAGGAGTATGACTGACGCTCTTGGGAAGAGCAGGAATTCCCTTCACCTGCTCACGCGAGACACAGCGACGCTCGCTCGGCCTCTGTCACACTCACCACCTCTCCTTATGGAGGTCATTGTTGAATGGCCGAGCAAGCGTGGACTCAGGTCACTGTGGGTTAGGAAAGATTGTGATGAATGCCTGGTGGAGCTTAAAGAGTCCTGTTGGAACATTCTAAAGAGAATTACTGATTCTGAAAGGAGGGATCGAGGCTGGCTTCACAGATACTGAGGCAGGTAGAAAAATGGTAGGATGACACCTGCCCAAATACTTCCTAACATAACAGACATCACGCTCAAGATTTCATTTTATTTCTTGAGACAGGGTCTCTCTCTGTCGTCCAGGCTGGAGTGCAGTGGCACAATCACAACCCACTGCAGCCTCAACCTCCCTGGTTCAAGCGATCCTCCCACCTCAGCCTCCTGAGTAGCTGGGACTATAGGTGTATGACACCACATCTTGCTAATTAAAAATTTTTTTTTCTTTTTTGTACAGACAAGGTCTCACTATGTTGCCTAGGCTGGTCCTGATCTCTTGGGCTCAAGTCATCCTCCTGCTTCTGCCTCCCAAAGTGCTGGGATTACAGGTGTGAGCCACTGTGCCCAGCTATACTGGAATACTGGACTTTTTGTTTTTAATTTAAAAAAAGAATTTTATTGGGCCAGGGGTGGTGGCTCACGCCTTTAATCCCAGCACTTTGGGAGGCCAAGGTGGGCGGATCACGAGGTCAGGAGATCGAGACCATCCTGGCCAACATGGTAAAACCCCGTCTCTACTAAAAATACAAAAATTAGCTGGGCATGGTGGCGCATGCCTGTAATCCCAGCTACTCAGGAGGCTGAGGCAGGAGAATTGCCTGAACCCAGGAGGCGGAGGTTGCGGTGAGCCGAGATTGTGCCACTGCTCTCCAGCCTGGCAACAGAGCAAGACTCCATCTCAAAAAGAAAAAAAAGAAAAATTTTTCAGACAGAGTCTCTCCCTTTCAACCAGGCTGGAGTGCAATGGCACGATCTCCGATTACTGCAACCTCTGCCTCCCAGGTTCAAGTGAGTCTCGTGGGTCAACCACCAGAGCAGCTGGGATTAGAGGCGCATGGTACCATGCCTGGCTGATTTTTGTATTTTGGGTATAAATGGGGTTTCCCCGTGTTGTCCAGTCTGGTCTTGAACTCTTGGCGTCAAGTGATTCACCCACCTCTGCCTCCTGAAGTATAGGCATGAGCCACTGAGCCCGACCAACCTTTTTAAAATGATAATAACAGTTAATATTTATTGAGTACTCTACATCCCAGCCACTGTGCTCAGCATTTTTTGGTGAATTCTCATTTACTGCTCACGAAAACCAGGTAAGCCATCCTTGCCTTACAGATAAGGAGACGGTAGCTAATCGAGGCTGGGGAGCTTGCCAGGTCACATGGGTAGGAGCCGCTTGAGCTGGGATTCGAGTGCAGGCAGTCAGATGCCCGAGCCCTGTTTGATAACCTGTTTGCCATGATGGGCCACGCATGACTTTCATTTCATCTCCACAGAGATGTCCAGAAAGGAGGATGTGGGCAGAGACAGGGTGTAGAGGATAGTGTGGGTCAGGGGTGCCAGTATGAGAATATTCTGGAGTTATGTTGAAGGCAGGGTTTTCATAGGGTTTTAAAGGTTGGAATTGTCCCCATTTTACAGACAGGGAAATGGAGGTGGATACTGCTGACCCGCCCCAAGATCCCGCAGGATGTGGGAGAGCTGACTTCTGCCGTGTGAGCTTTGTGGGTGGTTTCGTCACGTGGCGTGGCCTCTCTTCCTCCCTCACCCTCCCCTGCTGTCTTTCAGGGAACATCATTAAGAATGAAGTCCTGTACAGAGCCGGGATTCATCCCCTCTCTCTCGGCTCCGTCCTGAGCGCCTCGCGACGGGAGGCCCTGGTGGATGGCGTGGTGGAGTTCAGTGCAGCCTGGCTGCAGGGCAAGCTTCAGGGCCACCCGCAGCACACGCAGGTCTACCAGAAGGAACGGTGCCCTGCTGGCCACCAGCTGTTGAAGGAAGCGTTTGGGCCTCCAGGTGGGTTCCAGAGGCTCACCTGGTGGTGCCCACAGTGCCAGCCCCAGTTGTCGGAGGAGCTGGAGCAGCGCCAGGTCTCCTAAGGAGCTCCGGGTGCTCGTCATGGAACCTTGCCCCTTGGGGACCCTGACGTCTAAGTGTCCAGAAAGGAGGATGTGGGCAGAGACAGGGTGTAGAGGATAGTGTGGTGCCAGCATGAGAATATGCTGGAGTTATGTTGAAGGCAGAGTTTTCATAGGGTCTGATTTGTTTCTTCTTTTTCTAGTTCAGTTAATTCTTCCTGTTGAATTGCATCATTGTGAAAGATGAGGGAAATCATGGTGTTGGGTAAGGGGAAACGTCCCGAAGGCAGTGGGGCAAGGAAAGAGCTCATGGGAAGTAGCTGTGCTCCCTGCATGGCTTTGCAGATGATGTGGGGTTTTTTTGGTGTTTGTTTTGAGACGGGTCTCGCTCTGTCTCCCCAGCTAGAGAGCAGTGGCGTGATCTGGGCTCACTGTGGCCTTGCCCTCCGAGACTCGGGCAGCCCCCACCTCAGCGTCCCGGGTAGCTGGGACTACAGGCATTGTGCCCGGCTGATATCTGTTTACCTTTTGTAGTGATGGGGTCTTGCCATGTTGACCAGGCTGGTCTTGAACTTGTGTACTCAAGCGATCCTCCCAATTTGGCCTCCCAAACTTGGGACCACAGGAGTGAGCCACCGCACTGGCCAGCCCGTTTTCTTTTCCATTGCTGGTTGATTTTCAGGCCCTCCATTTTGGAATGCAGGAAAATGGGATTATTATTATTTTTCTTGTTCTCCTGGAGGATCCAGGGATGAGGAGAGAGTGGCCTGAGCGCAGTGCTCGGATTTAGCTTCCCGTTGGGTCCTTCCTGCTGGACGCAGACACCCCAGGAGGGGCTGGAGCAGGGAGCTGCGCCGCCCTGGGGTGCAGGGTGGTCTGTAGGGAAAGCTGCGTGTTTACTCCTTAAGTCGTTGTATTTGTGGCTGTTAATATGTTGAGCTCAAATCAAGGGCTGTGGAGAAACTCCCTCAGGCTCTTGGCAACAAGTAAATGAAGCTAGGACAACCACACGAAAATAAAGCTCTTTGTTATTTTCTGTTGTGATCTTTATTCGGCAGTAAAAGGTCTTCAACTAAATAACAGAGCTATTCATGGAGATGGCCTCCAGGCTTACTGGGTTAGCTGAGGAATCTGCTGAAAAGGAACAGGGAGAAGAGGCCGGAGCACACCTGCTGTCCTGCCCCAGGTGAGCAGAGATGGACTTGACCTCTGTCTCATGGCCTCTGCACAGAGATTTGGGGGAGCGAAACTGGAAACACTGACTAATGTTTCTGACTTTCCTTTACTCTGTCTCTCTCTCTCTTTTTTTTTTTTGAGACGGGGTCTCGCTTTGTTGCCCAGGCTGCTGGAGTGCAGGGGGGTGACCGTGGCTCACTACAGCCTCGACCTCCCGGGCCCAGGTGATCCTCCCACCTCAGCGGGTGGGACTACAGGTGTGCACCACCATGTCCGGCTGATTTTTGTATTTTTGTATAGATGGAGTCTCGCCATGTTGCCCAGGCTGGTCTCGAACTGCAGGCCTCAAGCGATCCACTTGCTTTGGCCTCCCAAAGTGATGGGATTATAGGCCCGAGTCACCATGCCCCGCCTGCCCTGTCTTAAATGATTGAGAATTGTCAACAATGGGGAGGGCCAGTTGATGGCAGACCGTCTCTCGTTCTGAAGACTCTCCCTGCACCAGGTGCTCTCTCTGTGTTGAGGGCTCGCTCTCCTTGCACCCAGTCCTCGCCACCTCACTTAACTTCTTGCATATGATCTGCAGAACAACTCATGAAGATGGGTAGTTGCCCTTACTGTCCTTATGTGATAGACAAGAAAATTAAAGAGTCTAGAGAGGCTGAGGACGTCGCTTAAGCTCATGGAGTTAACAAGGGCCAGAGCCATACCTTAGCTCTACTGCCGTAGTGGGCCATAGGCTGGGTGACTCAGGCCGCACACAGTTATTTCTCATCATTCTGGAGCCTGGGAAATCCAAGGTCAAGGGCTGGCTGATTTGGTTCCCCAGCGAGGTGGTTTTGGGGGTTAGAGCTTTATATGTGAATTTTAAGGGAACATAATTCAGTCTGTTACAGGCTACAGTGGAGTTTGGGAGAAAATCTTCGACTTCTCAAGGCCATCGCCCACCCTTTAAAAAAAAAAAAAAGTAAAGTAGCTTATAAAACCTCACTTTTGTTTTATAAAGGCCTGGATTTCAGAAAAAATAATTAAAACCTCAACTCCAGAATAGACAATGGAAACAGATTAATGGATTGATGTGTCTTTAGAAACTTGTGTGTATATATGCACATATATAAAGCATGAAACATCTAAGAATGTGGGCTGGGCACAGTGGCTCACACCTGTACCCCCAGCACTTTGGGAGGCAAGGCAGGTGGGTCACCTGAGGTCAGGACTTTGAGACCAGCTTGACCAATATGGCAAAACCCTATCTCTACTAAAAATACAAAAATCAGCCTGGTGCGGTGGTGTGTGCCTGCAGTCCCAGCTACTCAGGAGGCTAAGGCAGGAGAATCACTTGAACCTGGGATGCAGAGGTTGCAGTGAGCCGAGATTGTGCCACTGCACTCCAGCCTGGGCAACAGAGGGAGACGCCATCTCAAAACAAAAGATCGTGTGTGTGTGTGTGTGTGTGTGTGTGTGTGTGTGTGTGTACTGAAATGCACCTTTCTAACCCGTATGGGTAAGACAAAACTTAGACTCCAGGCATGAGCCGCAGCAAATGGGGCTGAGACCATTTCCTGTGATTCGGTGTCTACATGATAGTGGGGCAGGGGCTCCCCAGACATGGCAGGGACTGGACGCCACGGCCTGCATGTATTTTGCTCCGACTGGGTTAGGTAGAAAGGAAAATGCTGTCGTGGTGCCGAGAAGGAAGTTGAAGAAGCGATGGGCAGCTGCAGCTGTGGGAGTGCAGAGGGTGAGAGGCGCGGGCCGTGGTGGCAGTGGGCTCTGGTGGTGGCAGCTGGCCGACAGTGTGGGCATTGGGGCGAGGTGGAAACACGAGCTGACTCAGTGGGCACTGAGCTGCGTGCCAGCAGAGGCCACCGCCTGGCTCATAGGGAACGGTAGAGCTGGTACTGCGTGTCAGCCCCTGAGGCGTGTTGCGCTGGAGCCTGCGACCACCTGTGCTGTGGAGACAGTGTAATGGGGGAGCAAGCCTGGCCCCCCACAAGGACAGGCTGGGCTTAGAGGCACCGACGGGGCAGCTGTCCTGGTAGGAGTCATGATCAGCTGGGAGGCTCGCTGGGTGTAATGGAGCGTGAGGAAAGGTGCAGGACATCTTGTTTAAGGAGCAAGAGAGGAAGCAGGAACCCTGCAGTGACATGGGTGGAACGTAAGTGGGGAAAGGAAACTCCAGGGAGAAGCGGGCTGTCGGGATCGTGAGTCATGCGGAGATGAAGGGGCAGTGATGGAGCCGTGGCTCCTTGGGTTTGGCAGGTGATAAATCCCAGGTCATGATGACCTTCAGCGTGGCAGCAGTGAGAAGGGGGCGTCTGGGAGGGAGGAAGTGGCATGTGAGGGTGGTCTCCCTGCAGAAGATGGGCCTTGGAGGGGATGAAAATGAAGGGCAGGGAGGAGAGCGAAGCCCGAACAGAACGCGGAGGTTTGTGTATAATTAGTTCAGGGGAGAAAACCAGGAGACAGAGAAAGCTCACACCAGAGCCATCGCTTAAAGATGACTGGGCTAGGGTGGGAAGAGAACAGGTCCCTGGGAAACTTGCTGAAAGCGAGGCCTTTGGGTACAGAAGAGTGGGCAGGTTTGTAACAGCTCTTAAGGAAATTTGCTGACTTTGGGTTAGAGGGAAGGGCTGCACAGCCGCATGGTGGGCCCAGGGTGCCTGTGCATTTCCTGACTTTCCCTGACTGTATCCAGTGGCGTAGGATCAAAAACAAAGGCATTGGATGTTGGATTAACCCACATTGGACGGGGGCGTTTGTCAGGGTAAGAATGATGGGAGACCAAGGGGGCAAGGAGCAACAGCATTTTTTTTTTTTTTTTTTTTTTTGAAATGGAGTCTCGCTCTGTCACCAGGCTGGAGTTCAGTGGCGTGATCTCAGCTCACTGCAAGCAATTCTCCTGCCTCAGCCTCCTGAGTAGCTGAGACTACAGACGTGTGCCACCATGCCCAGCTAATTTTTGTATTTTTAGTTGAGGCAGGTTTTTTCTTTCTTTTTTTTTTTTTTTTTTTTGAGACGGAGTTTCGCTCTTGTTACCCAGGCTGGAGTGCAATGGCGCGATCTTGGCTCACCACAACCTCCGCCTCCTGGGTTCAGGCAATTCTCCTGCCTCAGCCTCCCGAGTAGCTGGGATTACAGGCGCGCGCCACCATGCCCAGCTAATTTTTTTATATTTTTAGTAGAGACGGGGTTTCACCATGTTGACCAGGATGGTCTCGATCTCTCGACCTCGTGATCCACCCGCCTCGGCCTCCCAAGGTGCTGGGATTACAGGCTTGAGCCACTGCGCCCGGCCTTCTTTTTTTTTTTTTTAAACAGAGTTTCACTCTTGTTACCCAGGCTGGAGTGCAATGGTGCAATCTCAGCTCACTGCAACCTCCGCCTCCTGGGTTCAGGCAATTCTCCTGCCTCAGCCTCCTGAGTAGCTGGGATTACAGGCACGCGCCACCATGCCCAGCTAATTTTTTTTTGTCTTTTTAGTAGAGACGGGGTTTCACCATGTTGACCGGGATGGTCTCGATCTCTTGACCTCATGATCCACCGAGGTGGGGTTTCACTGTGTTAGCAAGGATGGTCTTGATCTCCTGACCTCCTAGTCTGCCTGCCTTGGCCTCCCAGAGACCTGGGATTACAGGTCTGAGCCATTGCACCTCGCGAAAGAATGACCTTCATCCGTGCCATAGGAAGATCTCTAGAGTGTGCCTGCTAATCGTGTCTCTGACTGCAGTGACTCACAGAAAAAACTAATAGTTGGGTAATTGCTGACACCTGCTAGTTGAGAGTAAAGGTTGTGATTGATGCCATTGGAACTCCCCGGAATGTTCTGCATGGAAGAGGTGCAAAAGGAGGAATTCGGGCAGGTAACAACCCACACTCCCATGCTCCTCTCCCAGAGCTAATCACCCTGGCAATAGGCTCCCAGGGTTTCTGGTTGCTTCCAAAAGGAGGTAGGGCCTGGTGAGGTGGCTCACACCTGTAATCCCAGCACTTTGGGAGGCTGAGGCAGGAGGATCACTTGAGCCTAGAAGTTTGACACCAGCCTGGGCAACATAGTGAAACCCCCATCTCTACAAAAAATACAAAGTTAGCCAGGCATGGCGGTGCACACCTGCAGTCCCAGCTACTAGGGAGGCTGAGCGGGGAGGATTGAGCCCACGAGGTCAAGGCTGCAGTGACCGAGGTCATGTCACTGCACTGTAGCATGGGGACAGAGTGAGAAC